TGAGCTCCTCAAGAGAGGTGTTGTTCAGATCCTTTGAAAGTTTCAAAGCAGTTACCATGGGTCTCCATTTGACAGGAAAACTTTTGATAATATTCTTAACATGATATGCTGTAGAGTAACCTTTATTCAGAACCTTAAGTCATGCGTTAAGAGCCTGAAATCTTGAAAACATCGTTTCCATAGATTCATCGTCTTCTATCTTGAAGACTTCATGTTTTTGAATTAAGGCCAGAGCCTTTGTTTCCTTTACTTGTGCATTGCCTTCATCCTTCATCTGAAGAGAATCAAAGATAGACTTTGCAGTCTCTCTATCTGTGATCTTCTCATATTCATTGTATGAAGTAGCACTAAGCATGATAGTTCTTTCTTTGTAATGATTCTTGTAAACTTTCTTCTTTGCTTCTGTCATTGCACTTCTTGCAATCTTCTGACCTTTATCATATAGTTGGTGAGTGTATTCATCAACTACCAAATCCCATAGATCCAAGTCATATGCCAGAAAGTAACTTTCGATTCTATCCTTCAAATAGTCAAATTTCTCCCTATCAAACATAAGAGGTTTTGAACTATAGAATCTCTATCATTACCTATATTATCAATAGTTGATGTATAGTGATCTCTATCATTATCCCAGAATGGCATCTTTGAGAAAACCAGACTTCTTCTTCTTCTTCTTCTTCTCTAGTTCAGAGGCATCTGATCTTTTGTTTCTTTTACCTATGTAAGAGTCAACTTCCTCAGCAGGCAAGTCTGAGTAATTGAAGTCAGACATATCATGTCTTTCTTGTTGCATAATCAGAACATATGCAGCCACGCTGGATACATGATCTTTCTTGGAGAATAGAGGATGGCCATTCATAGGAATTTTTTTGTGATGATAACTCTCATACGATTCAATCAGAGGCTTTACCTTAAGTTCTTCAATCATCCTCATATTCTTCAAAGTTTTCCCATTTAAGCAATCTCCAATACTTGGAGTCAGATCCTCTTTATAGTTGGCTTCTTCGACCAAAAACCTTACCAAGCCATTTTTAACAAAAATATTCGTTAGAAGACGTCCACAAGGAATATTGGCAGATACCTTTTTGTTGGGAAGGGCGGTGGTTCTGGATTGAAAACCCGGTGGATTGAAATCCCGAAAGGGAGATCAAGGCAAAAGGTAGGGATCTTATTCAAAAAATGAACAAATAGACTGCGAGTTGAGAATTCATTACCACTACCATGAAAGAGAATGATCAATCTAAATCATTTGACTCAGAAGTAAAGGAGATTGGATTTATTAAGAGATATTGGAGAAACAACAGTAAGAATTATCATTTTCATTTCCATTTTCAAATTTTGTTAAACTTTATGTAATTACCTCTTTTAAGGAATTACATCTTGTACTCTGGCCTATTTAAAGGCACTTTCATCAATAAAACAATTTACTTTTCAATCTTTTCAATTGTGTTTTTCTTTTTTGGACTTGTTTTAAAAATACTATGATTATCACTTGTAAATATTTCTTCAAAATTATTTTGGGGATTTAACAAAAAAAATAATAAAAGCATTTGAGAAAACATCAAAAAGCATTTTGGTTAGAAAAACATCAAAAGAAGATCCACGCCTACACCCACGCATACGCCTACGATACAATTATCAATATCTTGTTGGCGTTGTTCACCATGTTATATCAAAATTCAAATCAACTTAGAGACACCACGACAAAAGAACAAACTATGATGGGGAGTCGATGACTTAGAAAACTCAATAGTTTAAAAGGAGAAAATATCAAAAAGCGTTTACAAAATACTTGGTGCATGTACATATGAAACATTTGGTGCATATACAAAATAACACATTTGGGTATTATATCAATTTAAGGCATTGTGCATATACATTGTGCACTATATTTTCAAAACTGCTTAGGCTAAGAACACTACATGCTATCTTGGGGACTATTGCTAGTTAGCTTATATGTGCAAGCTGAAAGTTCAAACCTTGAACCTTATTCAACAAATACCTTAGTTGAGAATAGACACAATCGGTATATCTATGATTTACATCTTTGGGTTAGTTATTTAAGACTTAGTCATCAAACTCAATTTCAAACATCGAATCTGCATTGTCTATCCCCTATGTTGTTATAAATATGCAAATATGTGATATAGCTTACTATGTTAGTCTCAAAGCTTTAGTAAGTTATCTATCTTTCAAACTCGTGTTATCTACCCCCTAGGTTGTGGTGGGTACATAAAAATCTGTAATATGGTTCATTGTCTTAGTCTCTAAGCGATAATGAATTGTCAAGTCTGTGTTATTTATCTTCTAGGTCGCGATAAGTGCACAAGTTTACGTTATATCTTACTATGTTAGTCTCGAAGCGTTAGTAAGATATTTTTAACCCGTATCATTTACTCCATAGTTGTGGTAGATATACGAAATCTGCAATATAGCTCATTGCGCCAGTCTCGAAACAACAATAAGTTATTTGTATTTTTGCAATATAGTTCAATGTGTTAGTCTTCAAGCGAAAATGGATTATCAACTTTGTATTATTCATCCCCTAGGTTGCGATGAGTAGACAAAATCTGCGTTGTAAGCTTGCTATGTTAGTCTCGAAGTGTTAGTAAGTCAACTTTTAAACTGGTGTTATTTACCCTCTAGGCCATGTTAATACTCAGTAACTGCGATATAGCGTGATTGCATCAGTCTCAAAGCAACAATAAGCTATCTACTTTCAAACCTGTATTATTTACCTCCTAGGTCATGGTAAATACACAAAATCTAAGATTACTTTTTTTAGGTGTTGACGAGTTATCTGTGTCATCTTTTCTAGGTCAATTATACTCTTTACTCGGGCATTGGTGAGTTAACTGCATCATCCTTGCCTATTTTTTACTCTTGGGTTTACTTTACAGTTTATCCTTATCTAATAATATTTTGGTCGATCTTAGGGTCTTTCATTATTTAGTAACCCTTTGATCCAAATGTGTGAGACCTTCGTTTTCTTGCACCCTTAATCGAAGAATGATTAAATAGGGGCAGCTGTCATACCTCAAATTCGCCCTACTAATTTTTGGTGTTACTTTCATGTGAATATATAATGCTGACTTACCTTTTTTTTGTTTTAGGATATTATTTTTAAGTATTCAGGAGGGGTGTATTTATCTATCACTTTCTATTTTTTAGGGTTCATTATTCCAGAGTAATCTAGAGGCCCATGTTTAATTTTTTTTTTCAAGTCAACACAAAGGGAGGTGTTTTTAGTGAGTTGGATGGCCCATTTTAAAAGCTTGGAAGATAGCCCATTTGTTTTGATTAAGTTTGAATAGAGTCAACGCCTGTTTATTTATTTATTTTAATTATTATTATTATTTTAACTATCATAATATTATTGTTAGAAGGTTGTGTTGCAACTGGTTTTTAAATCAGAGTCGTCACCCTCAATTTTTATCCTAAAGGAATGGAGTATAAAGGAATAACCCTAAAAATTTCAGAGATTCTAGATTTGGACTCGGTTCTAGATGAGGGGAAGGTGTTAGGCACCCCTTATCTACCTTGTTCACAAGGATACTAGGTTTAGAAGCGCGTTTTTAAGAAATAGGGTTTTTAAGTTTTATTAGGGGAACTCGCCACGATTTTAATCGCATGCCTACATATCCTCTTAGGAGGAATCAGAGTCTCATTTCATAGTTCGCAGTGTTTGGTTGGTATTTTTTATAAGATTGCGTAGAATTGCTTTCGAATTTACCTTGAACCTTGTCAGGTTGTAAGTTGAGTGATTATAGACGCAGTTCGTAGTTTGATTCGAAGACGATGCTATTTAATCTTTTTTGAAAAATGATCTTGGATTTTGGTTATGTTAGTTGAAAAATGTTTTGATGTTGGTTAGATATTTTAAAATGTAGAGCGAGGGGAGTCTGATATAGTCTCCTCATCACGTGGAAAGATATTGGCCACATGTTGCTCGTCATGAAGGACGCGGAGGAAGTCTGATATAGTCTTCCTCATCACGTGGCCAGATATTGGCCACGTGTTGCTCACGGGTGGAATATTTGGAATTGCGTGGGTTTTAATAATATGATATAAAATATTAAATTAATTATTTTTCTATAGCAAAAAATTTGATACAAGTAAATTAATCAAATTAATCTATTTTACCAAACAAATAAAATTATACCTATCCTTTTTTATATCTTAGACTTTTAATTAAAATAAAATAAAATAACTATTAAATTTAGTCAAAGTAAATAAACTAATAACTATACTAAAAAAGTTTGATTAATTGAGCTGAAAGGGTGTGTAAAATAGGAAGTTGTTGATAGATGGGCCTGAATTCAAGCCCAAAAGGTAGGGAGATGTTTAGTAATATCTTTGTAAAATATTAAATTAATTAACGTAACAAAAATATGATTACGCACAAATTAAACAGACTAATTAATCTAAGCAATAATAAAAACATATCTTATATTCTAAAACTTTGTAGAGTTAATCTAATTAGAAAAAAATTAAACTAACCTAAACATCTGCAATTAAAAAATATAATTAATGTAACTTAAGGGTAAATTACTAAGACAAGGGTGTTAAGTTATGATTAAGATTAGTAAGGGTCACCCAAAATCCATTATACTAAAAAACTTGATATAATCTCTGAATAAAAATTAACAGGACATTAATCATCACTCCAACACACCTAGGGCATCGCCTCTTTTCACTTCAGTATGAGAAACAGAAAGAGACACAAAATAATAAAGCCAAAAGAATTGACTTTTCCACCAATTTAATATCCAACTGGAATTTGACAAGTGGCAAGAAGAAAAGGAAAAAAATCAAATTAGAGATAAACTGGATCAGTACATCAAAATGGATCCACCATCCCTCTTATTTCACTTTCTCTCTCGTTCTCTTTTCTCTCTTTCAAAGAAAAAACCCAACAACACTAACATCAACCTTTCTCCAATGATAGTGTTTCTTTCATAATTTTAGCAACACAAAATCATATTGACGCCTCCTTAAACATGAATCGTATAAAAATAAGTAAAAAGAGGAACCTGAGTGGTGGATATTTGATGTGGATATGCGGAGAACCATTGCTTCGAGCTTCCCCGGCAATCCATCAAAGGTGGTGGAGGTCACGTCGAACGCGGTTTGCAATTCAAAGGTTTTTGAGCGGCACCGCTGATGGCAGTTGGTGGTCTTCGGAGTTCTTACGGTGAAAGCTTTTTTCCTGATTCTTTGATGTTCTTCAAACTAGTTTTTTTGTGATAAACTTTGATTCTTATTCTTTGTATTTGTCTTTCATTTCTTTGTTGTTACAATTTGTGTAAGGTGCATCGCAGATCTGCAGAGTCAGATGTTTTTGGCGAAGAGCAAGACGCAGAGGCATGTGAAGGAACTTTATGTTTATCGGTTCTACTTCTTTTTTCTGCCTTTCTGCAAATACAACAAGCAAAAGACAAACAATAATTGTAGTGTTTATTGCATTTGATTTATATTTTGATGTTAATTAGTTGTGATAATAAAAAATTAGTAATAGGTTAATAAGTTAATGACAGTTTGGAAGATTGTGATTGAATTTCTTTGTTAGTGTTTATGCTTTTGTTGAACCTGCAGATTGTTAGAATAACATACAACATATTTTAACATGTTGTATGTGGTTTGGAAATTTCTACTGTTGTGTTACGAGTGTAAATGTGTAATTGTGTTGTTACTGGATTATAGTGGTGAAGGTAAATTGATGATTTTCGAGAGTGTGTTAGACAAAAGCTACATGTACAAATTGCTTTCATGTAATAAAATTATGGGCAAAGTGTATTCACGTTTCTATATAAAAAATGTATAAAGTGTGTGATAAAATTAGAATAAGTAAACTTCTTAGCAGACAAAATATATACAAATTGTGGAATGTGAATGTGTTGCACCCCAAAATGTATCCTCTTGATTCAGGCTTATGTTTCATCATGAACATCATAGTGCATTGCATTCATACATTGTGATGCACTGGCAACCTTGTCCTCCATGTTCAAGGTCAAGTGGGCTAATGAGGCACCTTCCATTACTATCATAAGTTTGAGTGAGCCAGCTTTCTGCTTTGAGGCCAGTTTGGAACCAGATGGTAACCCTTGGTTTTATGACGTTAAACGATATCTTGAAACACAGAGTACCCGGAAAGGGCATCCGTCACGGATAAGAAGTTCTTGAGAAGATTTTTAGCCAAGTTCTTTCTCAGTGGTGGTGTGTTGTATAGGAGGCATTATGATGGTTTACTGCTCAGATGTGTCGACAAGAGAGAAGCAGCTAGAATCATTGAGGAGATACATGAAGGTGACTTTGGGACCCATTCCAACGGGCATACCATGGCTAAAAATATTTTGCGAGCCGGTTATTATTGGTCTACCATGGAGACCGACTGTTACAATCATGCACGGGTTTGCCACAAATGTCAAGTCTATGCTGACAAGGTGCATGCACCGCCAGTACCTTTGAATGTCCTGACCTCCCCTTGGCCGTTTGCGATGTGGGGAATTGATATGATCGTCAAGATTGAACCGACTGCGTCCAATGGGCACCGTTTCATTCTGGTTGCCATCGATTATTTTACGAAATGGGTCGAAGTTGCATCCTATGCCAATGTCACCAAGCAGGTGGTAACTCGGTTCATTAAGCACAACATCATCTGTCGATACGGAGTGCCCGAGAAGATCATTACCGATAATGGGTCTAATTTGAACAACAAAATGATGGAGGAGCTTTGTGAGTCCTTCAAAATCAAGCACCATAACTCTTCTCCATACCGACCAAAGATGAACGGCATTGTCGAAGCGGCCAATAAGAATATCAAAAAGATCGTACAGAAGATGGTGGTAACCTATAAAGATTGGCATGAGATGCTGCCTTTCGCTTTGCATGGTTATCGCACCACTGTGCATACTTCGACTGGGGAAACCCCATTTTCATTGGTCTATGGCATGGAAGCAGTACTGTCGGTAGAAGTTGAGATTCCTTCTCTTAGGGTCATGAAGGATGTTGAGCTGGATGAAAGTGAATGGGTACAGAATCGGCTGGATCAGTTGGAACTTATTGATGAAAAGAGATTGACGACCGCATGTCACGGTCAGGTATATCAGCAAAGGATGAGGAAAGCTTTTGATAAGAGGGTACGACCTCAGTGTTACAAACCAGGCGACCTTGTGCTCAAGAGGATAATTCTTCCCCAGGGAGATCCCAGGGGCAAGTGGGTTCCAACTTATGAAGGTCCTTTCGTGGTCAGAAAAGTTTTCTCTGGGTGAGCGATGATGCTCACGACTATGGATAGAGAATATTTCCCTCTCCTTGTGAAAGCTGACGTAGTTAAAAAATACTTTGCATAAAAAAAAGAGCCCGCTAAACTGAAAACCCGAAAGGTCGGTTTAGGAAAAAAGAGGGTGTCCTGGTGAATCGAAAACCCGAAAGGGCGATTCAGGCAAAAGTTAGGGACTTAAAGCAAATGACTACGTTCAGCCTGAGTTCCTTTGTTTCTTTCCTTTGATCCATTGCCTGGTGTGATCGGTGGAAATAGAACTGACTGTTTAAAGCTGGTTTCGCGAAATGTCGCGGTAAGCAAGAGTCGCCACCGTCTTTTATGTTCTCCAACATGGAAAGGACAAAAGCACAACAAAATTCCTTATTGAGAATGTCTCTCGGTTCGGGAGGTAGATTTATAGAAAGGGAAGGTGTTAGCACCCTTTCTATCCGTGGTTATCCACGGGCTCTTAGGTACTTGCTCTTATGTTTTCAAAATGTTTGTTTTTCAAAATGTGAGTGGGTTTGAAAAAGTTTCATTGAAAGATTTCTGAGTGACTCTTGTATCTGTCCTCAAGAGTGTTTGAAAAATTTGTTTTGAAAGCTTTGGAAAGTGTCAGTGTGAAAAGATTTTTGATTGTTTTTTAGAGAGCAAGTACCCATGAGTCATCTACCTACCCTAAGGAATTAGGCTGTGTAAATGTCCTTAAGGTAGTGCCATCCCACCATTGAGAGGTAGGTAGCACCACCTTTGGAGGTGTTCGGGTCAATTCGATTTTAGGGACAGTGTGGTCACCGAAGCAATAGGTAGGACACCTTAGAAGTAACCCTAATGTCCTAGATCCTTTTTAATCTGAGGCAACCGTTTCGAGGCAACTGGATCTTATACATAAGAGCGACCGCTAAAACATCCTATACTTGACGACCACTTTCGAAGGCAACGAGTGAGGCGTACCCTAGAAGTGGCAAGTGCATTGTGTGTTGTTTTCATGTTATATTTATCTTTGATCAGGCAATTGTGAGCTACGAGTTGTTTTTAGTTATCATACATTCTTTCATGCAATTAGCAGTTAGGAATGCGGAAAATTAAATGCAGAAGGATAAAAGCTACGCTATTACAAGGCGCGGGTCTATACATCGCCAAAATACAAAGACCCGTTTTTGATAAAGATGCGGAAAGTAAATAAAAAGCAATAAACCTAATTACTATTACATCCTTGGAAACAGTTACATAATAATCAAAAGAAATAAGGATAACGTGCGAAAAGAATTAAAATCAGGACGTCCTCGGGTTTTGACCCTTTGCTTGAAATTAAATTAAATTAAAACCTAATTAATTATTCAATTAAAGAAAGGAAAGTGTTTTTTATGTTTTTGTGTATTTATGAAAATAAAGAAATTAAAATTAAAAGGAAACCCTAGATCTAAGTTTATTTTACTTATTAATGAAAAAAGGTCAAAATTAGGCTAATTAACTAAATTATTTAATTTACATGTTTATTTACAAAAATAATAATTAACAAATAGTAATAATGATGATTAATAAAATATGATTAAAAAATATCAAAACCTAATTCTATGTAATTTCTATTTATTAAGAAAAAAAAATTGAATTTTAAACCTAAATTAACCTAGATTAGTTATTAGAATTTATTTACAAAAATAAATTAGTGATGAAATTAATAAATAATTAAATATATGTACAATTTTGATTTTATGTTTTTATTATGGAAAAAATTAATTTAGTGAATTAATAATAATTAAAACAAATGAAAAGAAATAAGATAAAAGAAAATAAAAATAAGAAAAATATTGCAAACCAAGGGGGTGTCTGGCCCAAAGTAGAGGTGAGACTGAAGTAATTCTGGCCCATTGAAGACCAAGCCACCTTTGACTTTTCAGGTTGTGTGCACGCTCATTGACTGGACCATATGATGGACTTCATTCTGTGGCCATTGGATTGTTGATCAAGGCCATCTGGCAAGCTAACGCGTGAGGGTGTAGGAAGGAGTTCTGGGCATATGCTGCATGTGAACACTTTGTGAAAAATAGAAAGAATTATATGGGGGACCTGGGAATCGAACCCAGGTCCCAACGCTTGCCAGCCACGTCTACCACCACTACGCCATCTGCGTTTGTTTGTAAATATAATAACTAATAAAAATAATATATGCAAAGTAATAATTATGCTGGAAAACGCGCGCAGATTTGAATTCTCCAACCAGGTTGAGCCACGCGCATCTTCTTCTTCGTTTTATGCAAAACACAAAACAAGATAGCGGGGGTTTTAAACCCCCACTAACTATAACAGTGAAAAATAGCGAATAGAGTTAATGGCAATATAAAAAGGGCGCGATATGTCCATTCAAATCGTCATGAGCTTCTGAGTTTAATGGTATATGTCTCAAGGCCTGATTTTTCCTCAATAAGAAAGCCCTAATTTTCAAGCTTCTAAACCCTAGATTTTATCCATGGTGGATTTTGATTCAGAGGGCTATAACCAAATTGGTTTGTACCAACAGCTTCAGAAGGTCCCTATTAACATAAATCAATCCAAAAAAATGGTCAAAAACACATGAATCGTGATATGCAAATCTGGAAAATAAAGCAAACCGTGTCACTTGTATTCTCTGATTCTTTGTTTGTTAAGCTTCGTTCTTGATTGCAATGGCTTCCTGGCAATGTCAGCAATGTATTGGAAACAATTTTAGGCCTTGAATCCACCTGCAAATAGGAAATCAGTTTCACACTTTTTCTCAATTTTTTGCAATTTTGTTATGGAGTCCTATGGCAGTTTTTTCGTGTGTAGCTTTAGGGTTGGCCTCAGCATAAGTATGTGATGTGAATTAGGTTAAAACTTTGGCCCAAAAGTCCATGAATTTAAGTTTGCAATCTTTGATTTTCAATCATGTAATTTTCAATCTTTTTCAATGAAAACCTTGCCAAATATGGATGATCTTCCCTTTTTGATTGAGAAACGAGTTTGCCAGCTTGCCCTGATTTGATTTGCTTCACAAAAGATCCAAAAAACATATCTTTTTGATTTTCCTATAATTAAAACCAATTAAATGAATTAATATTAATATAAATTCAATTAATTAATTAAAAATAAGAAAATAAATCAAATTAAGTCCAATGGGTCGTGCATAGGCCTTTAGGCAAAGTTGACTTTTGAAAGTTCCCAA